TATGGTCAAATTTAATAAAATTATTGTAATATTTTGTTTAGTGATGTAAAAATATAATAAAATCTTATATTTTAATAGCAACTCGAAAAAACAAAAAAATTTAGTGCAACTCACTTTTAAAAATCGTGTTTTTTAATTAACAGTTAATCACATAATTTATTGTTATCAAAAACAGAATTTATTAAATTATATCACAGATTTTGCATGTCCCTGATGCAATTATTGTTATTTATTGTATTTTGCTTGAGTTTTTAATATTCGAAACTGTAAAAACAAAAATTATTTTAGTTTTTGCTTTTAAATGACCAAATTATTTTAATTTAAGTTGACATCACATCAAAATGATGCGCTATAGCAGATTGTGGTGGGAATATCAATTAACGTTTAAAAACATGCGCCTAGCCGATCATAAAAAAATCGGCATTTTAATTTAATGTTCTCAAAAAACTCAAAAAATAAATATTTTAGCACGCAAAAAATCTGTACCAGGGTTTTCAATTATTTAGCTAGATTGATCGATATTGACCTGCATTAAGTTGATTTCAAAATTATAGTTAGAGGGTTTTGAGTCAAGCGAACAGTATTATAGTTTTAGTTTGTGTAGAGGCTATGTGAGGCTAAAAAAGTGACAGCACGAAACCTCTAGCAGGTCAGTCCCTTAAAATCATAAAATGTATAAAAGCATAGGTTGTCCCATTAAATAATAGGAGGACTTATGAAAGAGGAGCTTTCGTCCTTCTTGATAAAGCAATAATAAAACAAAGATTTGCCTTTTCTTTATCATCATTGATACTCGGGTTGAATGAGATAACATTGCACGTTAACTATTGAAGCTAACTGTGCAACGTATCCATTCTCCCAATTTACAATACGTATTAACAACAGTACTTTCCAAAACATATTAAAATATATCCAAATATATCTAAATTATTCGGGTCCCAGTGACTGGCGCTAGGGTACTTATCACTTGCTATTAATACTACTTTATATTCAGGTCCAATCCTGTGTGTGATTTATATAGTGCATGTTGGCTAATATTTGTAAAGAAATAATCTCATCATGGTTATTGATATATTCATTGCAATATTGTTCGCTCTTGTGAGTTATATCATTTATCTTGTAATAAAATATCCTGACCGTGCTATAGGATCAAGGGCAAGGCCAGAGCTTAACGGTCCTCGAGGTTTACCAATTATTGGAAATTTTATTTTATTGTTAAGAAGTAAAGGATTTTTTTATTATTGTCTTGATCTGATCGATAAGTATGGCCCTATTTTGTAAGTTTTACATTTAAATTTTAAAATAAATATATATTTTTTTTCATGTAACTATTATATTAATTATTTTTTTTGTCTCTTTAATGAATAGTACATTCACTCTGCCAAAAAAGGGGCGATTTATTATGATTAATGATCCAAAGTTAATAGAACATATGCTTAAAAGTATACTTTCGTATTAGGTTGTACATTAGAAATGAATAATTCATAAAACGGTTTACTAACTATCCATTTTTCATTAAGCGAATTTTGAATACTTTGAGAAAGGTGACATTTTACATGAATTAATGTATGATATATTCGGAGATGGAATATTTGCAGTTGATGGGTTTGTTTAATATCTTATTCAAATTTATCTTAAATTCGTTATTACAATTAAGTAATTAATCCTTTTGTTTTTACACGTATAAAAGGTATAAATGGAAATTTCAAAGAAGAATAATTAGTTATTTATTTCAAGGAAAAAATTTCAAGGATTTGATATGTGTCAGCATGGCAGAAAAGTCCAAAATCGTATTAAACATTTTACGAAATTGTGCTGATAACGGGAAACCTATTGATTTACAAGATTTATTTTATAGATTCACTCTGGATACTTTGGGAGAGTAAGTTTTCATTTATGTTTTTGATAATTAATTATAAAATCTTTAAACATTTTTTTTATGAATGTATGTATGCATACTTTTTTTTTTTTTTTCTTAAAAAAAAAAAAAGCATTTCTTTCAGTATAGACTTTGGTTGTTTATCCAACCCTGAAAAACCAGTTCAATTTGCTGTTGACTTTGATTACGCTCAAAGAAATATAGATTGGCGATGGCAACAACCTCTATGGAAATATATTGAATTATATAGCGAAAGAGGGAGGCAAATGCGTAAAGTTTGCAAAAAAATTGATAATTATATATACAATATAATAAATAACCGTAAATCAGAAACTGGTGAAAATACAAATGATATATTAACTCTGTTTATTAATGCTGTTGATAAAGACGGGACGAAACTTAATGATAGAGAATTAAGAGATGCTATTCTGAATCTAATTATTGCAGGTATGTTTTCATTTGAGGAAAAAGATGATGATTTAATTAAACGTTTGCTTATTTTATGTTTTTAATGCTTTGTGTTTAGGCCGTGATACTACAGCACAGGTAATATATTCACTATTATATAATATAATTGTTTTAACAAATAAAAATCACTACGTCCACTTACGTCACTTACGTCGCAAATGTAATAATAGGCATTATCTTGGATGATGTATTCTATAATGGCAAATCCATTTGTTGAAGATTCCTTATTAAAAGAAATTAATTCTATACTCTCGCCCACGACTCCAATTCCATCATATGACGATATTAAAGCATTTAAATATGCAAATGCAACATTTTACGAAACTTTGCGTTTATATCCTAGCGTTCCAAAAAATGGCAAGGTAAATTATAGGATAATAAAATGTTTACAGATGTAATGTCATTCAAGTTTAATTATAAATTCTTTTTATGGAAGGTTTGTGTTAAGGATCATATCTTACCAAATGGTATTCCCGTATATGCAGACGAATTTGTAATTTATAATCCTTGGGCAATGGGAAGAGATAAAAAACTTTGGGGCGAGAATGCAGAAATATTTAATCCTGAAAGGTTTTTAAATTCTGAAGATATGTCAAAACCAAATCAATTTAAGTTTATTGCGTTTCATGCGGGACCTAGAAACTGGTAATGTTTTTAAGAGTGTTATTTTTTACTTAACAAAATCGAATTCTTTATTTAACACGTTTAAAATAAATAGTTTGGGACAACAATTCGCAACTGTTGAAGCAATAATGCTTGTAACAACGATCTTAAGAGAATTTAAGTTTGAATTAGTGCCTGGCCAAAAGTCTCCACCGGCCCTTCTACAGTCTATCACATTGCCTATGAAAGAACCTTTAATGGCTAAAGTGTCCCGTAGATTATGATACCTTACGCTTTGTTGGAAGATTTTCAATATTTTGAAGTACGATATTTTAAATCCTCTTAAGATTTTACACCTTGTTAATGATAGCAGGCTTTATAATGTCACATATAAATTAATGACCAACTAAATTTACTTTTGATGATATAAACTAGACCCAAGATTATGATAGGTTTTAAATTTAGTGAAATGTAAAAGACCTTAATCGTGATTAAAGGGTTATAATAAAATTATCAGCTTAGTCAAAAAAACTTCTGGTTAAAGACATTCATACGTAATTTCCGCATAAACTTTTTACACAAATTTCTATTTTACTAATTAAACATGCGGACAGAATAATAACAGACTGGTTGTTTATGTTTACTTAACAGGAATTCTTTATATTTACATAGTACCCTAACCCTGTGTTGAATATCTGATGTTCTCAGTGTACTCAAGAACATTAATAACATAATATTTAAAGTTATGTTTTCATTTGAGAACATAAAATTTATAAGCCATGTTCGGTTTCGTGATCATTTTTTAATGTAATTTTTTAAATGCACTTTGTCTGTTTGCATATTGTTCTTAAAGACAGATTGTTATAATACCTTACTAAAACCATTTTTTGATACGTATTGGCTAATTTATTATTATTTATTGTTGCTTTTGAAAAATCACAATACTTCATTTTTTAGCAATAATTAATATATTTTTGAATGTCAATTCAATTATTCTAATCTATTACTTTTTAGATTTCATTATTGATAAAATGATAAAATTTACACCCTAGATGATATCACCTAGTTATATGTACAACCAATCAGATTGCAGATCGAAAATGAGGAAATTTTTATTTGAAAACTACAGTACTTTGGGTTTCTAAGTAAAAGTTTCAGCACCTAATTTTGCATATAAATACCTTCTTTAATTCTAATATAACTCCAACCCTAATCCCGAACTTTTATTTTATAATATATGATAAATTGGGCCAACAAATTCTTATATTTTTTCT